TTATATCGAAATCCTCTGACATTCTTCTTTACAAATCCTCGTTTTGTACTTCTAATTAGTGACCGTTGTTTTGTTTTGATCTCTCCCCTGCGTTTCCGTGTGTGTGACTTCTAACCTAACTTGCCGACTAATAAGACCATGAACCAACAACCTTGTTGGTCTTGGAACAACGTTCCTAGATTTTAGGGTCAGGTTACATTTACATTTAGCAGATGCTTTTATGCAGAGACTGGCATTGCATTCAACGTAAACAATATTTTCAGTTCATGCTTTCCCTGGGATTTGAACCCATGACCTGGGTGTTTACAGCCTTAGTAAGAAGTGCGCTCATAGTGGTTTAGTATAAAAGCATAAACTAAATGACAAGTTAGTCAAGTTTTACTAGTATGGTTTTCTGATGTTGAAACACTTCTTGAGGGTCTAAAATGAAAGTGTAATACTGATATTGTTAAATCTGTCTGTAAAACTTCCACCTGATTTTATGAAGGACAAACGTCCATTAACGTCTCAGTTAACATGTGATGACCAACACATTCCCATTTTCTTGTGCTGCAGGGTCGTCCTCCGCGGAGAGAAGATGACTGAGGCTGTGAATCCTGAATCAGTGGAGGTGTTTAATTTTAAAGAGGAATTTGGCCTCGCTGAGCAGGAGGTACATATAATCTAATGAGATTCTAAACTACTGTTCAAAAGTTTGGGGTTAGTAAGATCATTTTAATGTGTTTACAAGAAGTCTCTTCTGCTCACCAAGGATGGACTTATATAATCAAAAATTCAGTAAAAACAGTAAAATATTATTTCAATTTAAAATACCTGTTTCTATTTAAATATATCTTTAAAATTGAATTTATCCCTGTGATCAAAGCTGAATTTTCAGCATCATTACTCCAGAAATCATTCTGCTATGCTGATTTGCTGCTCAAGAAACATTTATGATTATCAGTATTGAAAACCGTTGTGCTGATTAATATATTTAGAATATAGAAACATCCAGCATTTCATTGAAATAGAAATATTTTGTAACATTATAAATGTCTTTAAAGCGAGCTTTGATTAATTTTATTTCATAAAAACAGAATTTTACTAACCCCAAACTTTTGAACGGTTGTGTCGTAAGTAACAAAAACAGAAGTCACTGAGCTCTGATGCTCACTAGAAGAAAAAAAGAAATGAAAATTGACAAATGACACGATTAAGGGAGAACAGGGCAAGTTGTCACATAGGTTATATCTCAGTTATGCTTTTTTTCCTCTTGCAGTAATTTTGTGTATTGATTTCAAACACCTAGTTTAATCTCTGTTGGCCATTTAATATTGTGCTTTTTCATAAATCACTAAAAGTTGTTAAATGCAGACATATGCTGTATGTGTATAATATGTCTTTAATTAGTACTGTTTTTCAAACAGGTATCATTCACACATCAGTGTCAAACATGCACCACTATAGTTTAAGCATGTTAAATCAACTACCTTTTCTCCTGGATTAACAATGTGCAATACTTTTATTGTTGTTCAGACTTAAAAGTTTACTATACATAAACCTGACAAAATAAACTAACCTTGAGAAATATTCATTAAGAGTAAGCTGTGACAACTTGCCCCGGTCAGTAAAGCAAACTCTAACAGCTGTGTGTCTGTTCTGCAGGCTCTGGCAGTGAGTGATCATTTCCCGCTCTGCATCACTGTAAACCAAGCGCAGACGAGAGGATAACAACCGTCTCCATTTACACTTTTACTGCTCGCCTGCTTCATTAGTCCTACAGATGAGAATGAGAAACAGCTTACATGAAAACAAATGAGTTCTAACAGAAAGCGAGTGTTCAGTGCTTTACTTTTTTGCTGTGTTTTTGTAGAGAAGAGCAGAAATGTTTGATTGAATGATAACGACAAGCTTCCAGTGCATGTTAATTATGAACCAGCGGTCTGCAGTGTTGGTTTACTGGTTGCTGTGAGACAGTAGAGTTAGTTTGCAAGCCTGTTAACACTTTAACCCGTCTACATTTCTCCATTAATTAACTCCATTCATCACAACACCTGTATTAGTGCTTTATATTGACATTTGCATGTTCTAAAACAGCCTTCAACAATAAATGTTCTATCAGATGATTTCAAATCATAGGGATTTTTATTAATGCATTGATAATGTATGCATACTTATATGATTTATTTCATTAAAATAAAAGATTTACTTGAGAGTATTAGATTTAAGTAGAGTTAAGGTGAATACTGTCTGTTCAAGCTCAATGAGGTGAGAAAAACATTCATTGGTGTTTCATCCTAGTTGATCAGTAGCTGCGGGAATATTAAAAATGCCATTCCTGGCATAGAAAGTGCTCCTTACGATCCCAGATCTCCCGTAGGCTGGCGTCTTACTGTCAATCTCATAATCACCTGAGGAAACAAAGTTAGTTTAGTGCTCGACATTTAGCCATTACTGTTATGCTCAGTGTTGGGGAAAGTTACTTTTAAAAGTAATGCATTACAATATTGCGTTACTCCATAAAAAAGTAACTCATTACATTACTTAGTTACTTTTTATGGAAAGTAATGCGTTACGTTACTTTTTAAATCTGGACAGGGCTTGCTTGTTTGTTTTTAAAATAAAAAAGTTATATTTTTGGCAAATATAAAAGCCTTTTCACACCAAAAGTGAAATGAATAAGCCTCAGGCTGAAGGGAAAGTAAATTTACGTGACTATGTCTGTACAGTAGAATGCAGAAGAAGAAATTTCAACACACTTCAGCAATAAAAAAAAGACACAAATGTTTGTCTAGAGTAATTTGTGATTATTAGTACGGTTGAACTGGATCATCGAAGGTCAGAAGCAAAGACATTGGTTAATAGAATGGGATTAAATACATAAAGCATATTTGTGTTGTTTAACATTTAATTATTGCAGGTTTGCGTCATATTCTGAGTTGCATTATTTTTATTCATTTTGAGGAATACTGAATCTGTGTTTTTTTTTTTTTGTGAGTGAGATGAATTAATGCATATTCATATTTATTTTAGAACTACAGTAACATCTGATTTCTCTCAGCAATGGGACAGGAGAGCTGTCAATCAATAAAAAAATTTAAAAAAGTAACTTGCATTACTTATTTGAAAAAGTAACTCAGATATTCTCTTGTAAATTAAAAAGTAATGCGTTACTTTACTAGTTACTTGAAAAAAGTAATCTGATTACGTAACTCACGTTACTTGTAATACGTTACCCCCAACACTGGTTATAACTAATGATTATTATGATTGCAGGTCAAACTGACCATAAACTGGTTTTAATAGAACTCATCAATATCACACTATGAAAAATAATAAATAGTCACCACCATTTCAAATAGCAAACAGATCAAAACAGTATTATATGTGACCCAGGACAACAAAACCAGTCTTAAGTGTCAATTTTTTGAAATTGAGATTTATGCATCATCGAGCTGTCAATCAATAAATTGAAAAAAAAAAAAAAGTAACTTGCATTACTTATTTGAACTTATTACTTATTACTTACTTATTTGAAAAAGTAACTCCGATATTCTCTTGTAAATTACAAAGTAATGCGTTACTTTACTAGTTACTTGTAAAAAAAGTAATCTGATTACGTAACTCGCGTTACTTGTAATGCCTTACCCCCAACACTGGTTATGCTAATATTTTACTACTTAATACTGCATGCAACCATTTTGTCAATACTAATAATATTTGTCTTTATATAGGCCTACACTACCATTCAAAAGTTTGGGGTTAGTAAGCACACAACAGTCATAAATTCTACTTTGCTCACCTAGTCTCCATCCATAATCCCAGGACGACAGAATTGGATAATCAAACTTTTCCTCAGGGCCTTTCTGCGCCCGTTTCTTCAAATACAAACTCCGTCCTTTGCCTTCGTTGGATAAGCCCTGATAAAGAGCCGCTGTAGTCCGCGGGCTCACGGCTCTCATGAGCGGGGCTTCACTCAGTGACCGGCGCACCGGCTGCTTCTCCCGCGTCTGGACCACAGGAGGCAGCGTGACTTTACCGACAGACGGAGGGTTAAAAAGCCCGATGGATTTGGACCTGCGAGACGCGAAGGTGGTCGGGTATTCTTTGCTGTATTTCATCTTCCACGCCAGCCGCGTGTAGGCCTCCTTCAGGATCAGCTCGCGGTAGAAGTTCTGGTCTTGAGTGGTCAGCAGGTTCCTCATGTTTGATGTGTCCGCGTCTCTTATTACCGATTAGTTTGAGGCAACAGAAACCTATCAGGTGCGGAGCTGACCAATCAGAGAGCAGATCACTCACCAGGTGGAGAGAAGAGAGGCCAAACACACACCATATAATGACAGAATAACAAAAGAAACCCAGTGCCGAACGCCGCATCTAAAGGAATCAGTTTCAGTACAGAAAAGAGTCAAATACAGAAGACAAGAAAAACGATAGGTACTGGGGGGTCTCAAAAAGTAAAAATAATACAAACTTAAACTTAAAATATTAAAACAAAACAGACCGGCAAGAGCCCATGCATTTAAATTCTAGTTTATGTAACTTTGAGCTTTTTATTGTTAGGTTTTTTTTTGTAGCCATAGGCCTAAAGCAAGGGTGTAGGATTGATTTTGGCATTGGGGACATAACGGCAGACAACATACACTTAATTGTTTGATCGAAAGTATTGCTAGGGCTGGATATTGGTACATGTCATGTCAGCGTCTCTACTTTAATTATATGCCCGTTGAAAATCTTAAGTGATGTCCGACTGTGAAAATTCTCTCCTTAAATATGAAGAGGTCAAACAACAGATTAATGAGTTAATCCAAATTTCACAAAAAGCGTATGGACATAATTATAAATCCGACATTGAAGTGAGTTGCTGTTTTTGTCACTCTTCTGAGGAAGATTCAGTTCACTTGTTTGCCAACACCCACACAGAGACATTTTGGTCAGGTTTTTTAATGTTCATCCAGTCTCATTTTGTAAGTGACTTTTCTTTCTGTTTTAAAGATGTTTGGATTGTTTGACTAACAAGAGACTAAACAAAACATCTTTATAGTAAAATATGACTTAGTTTGTTACTGCTAGCAAAATGTAGCTAATGCAAGTCCCGATCTGAATCAAATTATTTGACACGGTCAGTAGCTACTGCCTCGCTAGTTTTTTTTTTACATTAACTGAAAAAATATGATGTATGACGAGCTGCAGCACAAAATACGTGTTAAAAACATTGTGCATTATGGTCGAGTTTGTAGCTTAATTGACTATATTTGAAATAGTTTGAGCATTGCAGTTCAGTTGCTGAAGTTCAAGAGGAAATCATTTGAAAGCCAGTCATCTCATACCATTGAAGTGAATGTTCAATATCAGTATATATTGTAATAAATATTTGAGAAAATGTTCTGATTGTATTGGTACGGAGCCCCTAAAGTACGGAGCCCCTAAAGGGACAAAGTGGTGGGAAAAAATTTTGGGGTGGGAGGAAATTTTTTTTTGCGTTCCCTCTCGAAACTTTGCGTTCCCTCGCAAAACTTTTGCGTTCTCTTGCAAAAGATATTTGCGTTTTGCGAGGGAACGCAAATATCTTTGCGAGAGAACGCAAAAAATCTGACAAATATTTTTTCCTCCCACCCCAAATTTTTTCACTCAATCTGATTTTTTCCCACCACCATGTCCCTTTAGGGGCTCCGTATATTGGTCTATAGTGATAGTCAATGTAAAAAGAAGCAGATGAACACAAAGTTAAAGAAAGTTGATCATTAATTGAACTGTGCATGTAAGTTTTAATGTATATATTAAATGTATCCTTGAAAGCACGCCGTTTTCTAGCATATTTCTTCAACTTATCTGGTAATATTTATAGTATGACCTATTTCTGCTTAAAAAAAAAAAAAATCTTCAACCAGTCTAGACCGATTTAAGATGGTCTTCTGACATTAGCAGACGAAAATTGCCCAAAACCTTCCTAAAACCAGCAAAACAGCTTAGGCTGGTTTCAGTGTTATTTTTGTACTATTTATATACTATAATAGTACTAATATTTTGAATTACATACTTTCTATATTTCCAGTTTTCATTTCATTTTCATTGTAGTAATCTTTATGCTTTTGTAATTTTTATTCCTTTTAAAAATTTGTATACATTTTTAATTTTAGTTCAGAAAATTAGAATTGTTGCCTTGACAGCAAAAGTTTAAAATTATTTAATATTTATTCCAGTTGCGAAAATGATTTTTAATAGTTTTAGTTAACAATATAAACACTGGCTATTTTTTTTCCATCAGGGAATACATGTATGAAACTTGAGTATGACTAAACGATGATAATTATTTATATAAATATTATAAATCATTTAGTCTGAAGTTACTAACCCTTTAAGCAGGTGTTGTAATACTCAGGTCTGTCCTGAAGGAGGCAGCAGAACATTTCTGAACATTAGACAATCAGCCAGTGAGTTAGTCAAAGTTAATAATCCTAAATTACACAAGCCAACTCAATCACATTGACTTCCTCCCACCTAAACAAAGCAAAGGAAATCATGAATAATGCACATGACCTTTGGAACTACAAATATACATGTTTATCTGTTATTTAGGGTCGTTTCTATGGTAACAATGGAACATTCACTAACATTAACAAAACGTTGTTACTGGAATTCTAAACTGAACAGAGTCACTGAGTTAAAGGAACAGTTCACTCAAACAGACTTTTGATCATTTACTCCACCTCGCAGAAAATGTTCAAGAATTTTCTGAAAGTTTCACTGTTGATAAATAATGAGACACTATCTTTAATCTTGAATTCTTGATTCCAGTCAGTTTTAATAAGCAAATGTACATCAAATCTATTCATGTTTCTCACAATAAGGCACCAATGGCTAAATACAAAATACAATTAAATGTCCCCTCTTGCCCTTAAAACTCTTACAAAATACTCCACCACTGGAGTATCAAAACTAGTAGAATTAATACGAACGAGAAAGACCTGCATAAATCTATTACTGTGACTTTTGTATGTTAGCGTCTTCAAAAAGCCAGAAAATCAGATTAAATGTGAAAAAACAGAATCTTTTGCTTTTGAGGGCTTTGCAAGTCTAAAATTTTGACATGATAATTTTTGTAAACTATTCAATATGTAGCATTGAAACCTGTTGAAATGAATACAGAAGTGCTTGATTTGAAGTGATGGATAATGCTTTGATTTATGAAGGAATGAACGTCACAGTTCAGTTCATGCAGCGAGAATCAAACAGACATAGAAAGGTTATAATATGAGCATTAAAAGAGACAGTATGTTAGAAAGAGTCAATATCAGTAGTAAAGAGATGTTCAGGTGTGAAACCCTGATCAGTTTGTTCATACACCGTCTTTTTAACTTCTCAACACTCATCTTTAAACTTGCAATGCTGAACTAAATCCACAAATAGAAGTAATGTACAATTCATGCATCATAACAACATGCCGTCATAATGTGTCACATTCCAGTCAAAAACCTGATCAAGTGCAAAGCTGAAGAACAACAGAATGAAGAAGGACTTCTAGTTGTTTTTGTACAGTGTGTTTCTCTCTGTCAGGAGGTGTTTCTGATTAACCGCAAGGAATTATGGGACGGTGACTTGGAAGGGGGAGCCTGGGATGTGTTCATCTCCCCATTTCACAGCCAGAATGTAGTTGCCCCTCTCCTTTAAGACGTAGCTGACGTTGTACTGCATGTTTCCCATGTGTTTGACCAGGATCTCCTCGCAGGGCGTCAGAGGACCGTGAACGCCGACCAGCAGCATGTTCTTCCCTGGAAACAAACACAAATACATGTGAGATGTATGTGAGACAACAAATGGTAAAACACAATTATGCCTGTATAAAATGTAGTTTAGGCAATATTGCCATGATAAAGAGTTATGATTGTATATTCTGTGTATATAAAATGCAAAAACAATATTGCCATTGTATTGGGGTTTAAAAAATAATTAGAATGCTAAAATAAATGTTATATAAAATGTATTAAATTAATAGTAAAGTAAATAACATGTTTTTAAATATATAAATATAAATAATATAAAACAAAAATATAATAAACAATCAACATGTTTAATATACATTTACATATTATATTTCATTGTAATAATAATAATATAATAATGTAAATAAATGTTTTATATACACATATATATTTTAATATTAAAATACATATTTTTTTCTATTATTATTATCATTTATTATTATTAATAATAATAAAGTATATTATTTAATAAAATGATCTACCCATGTATTCTCCAAAATGTTCATAATCTGTAGGGCATTTAATAAAATGAAATATTTAATAATAATAATAATAATAATAATAACAACAATATATAATAGTGAATACATATTTTATAATTTAATTTTTATAATTTAATATTAAAAATATAAATTTTAATAAAATGATCTATCCATCTATTGTAATTTAATAAAATGACCCATATATATATATATATACACACACACAAGGGGTGTAGCCATCATTTCAGAAGTGACAGAAATGTAATGTGTATATATATATAAATATAACCTACCAGTCAAAAGTTTTTGAACAGTAAGGTTTTTAATGTTTTTAAAGAAGTCTCTTATGTTCACCAAGCTTGCATTTATTTGATCCAAAGTACAGCAAAAGTGTGAAGTGTGTACTATTTAAAATAACAGTTTTCTATGTGAATATATTTTAAAATGTAATTTATTTCTGTGATCAAAGCTGAATTTTCAGCATCATTACTCCAGTCTTCAGTGTCACATGATCTTCAGAAATCATTCTAATATGCTGATTTGCTGCTCAAGAAACCTTTTTTAATAATTATTATCAATAATCAAAACAGTTGAGTAAATTTTTTCAGGATTCTTTGATGAAAAGAAAGATCCAACGATCAGCATTTATCTTAAATGAAAAGCTTTTGTACCATTATACACGCTACCATTCAAAAACTTAGAGTCAGTGTAAAATTTTTTTTTTATTGGAAAAGAAATTATAGAAATTAATACTTTTATTTAGCAAGGATGCTTTAAATTGATCAAAAGTGATGATAAAGACATTTATAACGTTACAAAAGATTTCTATTTCAAATAAATGCTGTTCTTCTGAACTTTCTATTCATCAAAGAAACCTGAAAAAAATTCTACACTGTTTTCAACATAATATATATACACTGAACAAAATTATACACGCAACACTTTTGTTTTTACCCCCATTTTCATGAGCTGAACTCAAAGATCTAAGACTTTTTCTATGTACACAAAAGGCCTATTTCTCTCAAATATTGTTCACAAATCTGTCTAAATCTGTGTTAGTGAGCACTTCTACTTTGCCGAGATAA